TTTTGTCAATCACATTAAATTATTACTTCAAGACATCGTATATCAGTGAATCGTTTATCAGGAGGGAGTATTTTTGAGGAAATACACCATAATCCACATGTTTTCTTTAGACCATCTCCAGAACAGCTTGATACACAGCCAATTTTTTTTAGGAGAAAAAATCATATTTCAGTGGAAAAACAAACACCAGCATTAAGGCAGCTAGGCAAGTGTTTTTCTTTGGAAATATCTGAATGGTTTGTCCTTTTCTTCACACAACTAAAGATATGTCATCATTAAGACTGCATGCTAAGCTGCTCTGCAAGAGCAGAACTTCAAGATGCTATGCTGGAGATTTACTCTCATCCCATTCCACATGCTTCAGCCACTATGGCCAGAGATAGTGGAAAGGAATTAAAAATAAATTATATACTATATCAGTGAAGGCCTGTAGTCTGCTTTCAGTTTTGCCCAAAATTCAGGCTCAGGCAGGAAGTAAATGGGTCTTCCTTCTGCCAGGCTTCTGCAGTGCAGTATGTTTCACTATATTCTCTATTAGGTTTCATATCTGCATTTGAGTTAATGAGAAAATCTGATTAAGTGCACACATGGTGATAGATTATACTCCCACTGCAGTGATTCTTTATAAGGATTACTTTGTCTTACCAGTACAGTGAAAAAAGTTCATGACAATAACATTTAATAGATAACTCAGATCTTTTGACTGAGTTACTGTCGACAGCCTACGTGCAAAAATTAGGAATTTAATCTATTAACTTATTAAAGCGTACCTGTGCATAGAGTCTGAGCTTGCTGACAGCATGAACAAGATACAGTTTGTCCTCATGCCATGCAGAAATACAGCCCTCTTCACTTTTCTCTTTGTTTGCTTCATCTTCTCGCACACTGGACAGAGCAGAGCACACAAACTGCTCCAGTGTCTCTCCCATGGGAATCTGGCAGGGACATAAGGAATTGATGAGTATCTCAAGAGAGCTGCTGAGTGTTATCTCTGCTATCAACTTACTTATCTGGTGAAAAAAGAATATCACAGAGTCTCCTTCAGCAAGAACAAAGCCCATTTAATCCAGCGTCATATTCTGGGACATATACTTCAGAGTACTCCACACACAGAGTGCTGTATAGAATACCAGTGGCCCCATTAGGGTACTCATACAACAGCCACAATGACAAGATTTGTATATGCAAGGAATTTGCACCACATAGCCATACCATGTTGCTACTCCTACAGCCATTTGCAGGCTGATGCTGAGCTAACTTGACAATGACACAGTACACATACACTAGAATAACTATACCAAAGCAACTTCACAAGTATAAAAGTTACTGATGTAAAAAGCATCCAGTACAATGATACATCTCAACCAATGATTACATGTAGCAGACTGGTTTTAGATTGAAGTTAGCAGGTTTCAGCAGCGTGGCCATGAGGTCAGAATTTTTTCCTCATAGCCCAACCTTTAAACTCCATGTTGAAAGATTTGGTGTTCCAAATCATATAAATATTGAAGCGTACAAAAATAATTTAGCACTTTTTAATTCTTCCTATTAATATCTTTCTGAGAAATTTTACATCCTAACTCCTTTCAACTGTGACTAGAAAATTTATCAAAAGTTTTGCAGATGTTTTGACACCAAGCAAGCTGGGGCTTTAGATAGAGAACTGAAGTGCTCAGAACAGACATTGTCCAGGCTTCCATATTTCCCTTTGTACTTTTTGAGGGTCTTCAATGCCCTAACACAAGCACACAATATCAAGATATTAGTTTAAATAGCTAGCAAGTGAGATGTCCGGTATTACACAGCCAATTATAGCTACGAGGTTGCAGTCAAATTCAGTTCAGTTGATCAAATTGTCCATCATTGATATTTCATTAAAAGACCATTCGAAAGTCAAGTTTTTTATAATTTATCCCTTTGTGTAAATAAGATATTTTTATAACGAGCTCTTCTGGAGTACAACTCTAAACTGTACCTGGCAAAGAACAAATAGATTTCAGATAAATACCAACACGTTCTATTCAAAAGCTGTGGAATTCAGAAGAAATTCAAAAGATGTTTCAAGTTTTCCGCAGTTCAAACCAGACCATCACAACAGATCACTTCGGTCTAGAAGATAGGTTAGAAGCCCACTCTAAGAGATTTTTTCAAAATTTGACACATCACTGGTATATTTTAATAGCTCCACTGAGACAACTCATCAGTCAAGCATATTCATATCAAGACCGTACACTGAGAAGAAAGGACCCTTGATGTGCCTTAATTTATGCACAGGAGAGACAGTCACTCTTTGTCCAGCAAACTGGATAAAAACGCTACCTGACAATTAATCCAGGCAGCTTCAAATCTAGGATTTAGTTTAGAAGCTTAGTGGAGCAAACCCCAGAAGTCTTTACAGGATTGGATAATAAACTGAGGACTTTGCCATACTCAATGGTGACTTCGGAGAAGCATGAATTCATTAATGTACACAACTAGACCTATCAGCATCTTCATGTGCAGAAATTTCACCTGAAGCTAAATACATCTATTTGGATGGGAATGAAGCCAGGATATTTAGCAGTCTTGTAGCTGCTTCACCAATGTAAGATATGACATAGCTTCTGTAAGGCATGAAAAATCCCTTCAGGGCATAAATAAAAACAAAGATGAAAGAGAAAGACACTGAAATTTGCAAGTGATTTACCTTTGTTAATTGTGCTGTATAACTTAGCAACTTCTCAACATGAAGATCGTCATAACCAAACCTGGATTTAAGTTCTGCTTTCACAGCACGTGGATTCCACAAAACATCCCCAAGAGACAGATTATACTGAAAACCTGAAAGAAAGAAAACCTTCCATTTACATCGTTCCCGCTTTTTGTTCAAATTGTTTCTTGATTCATTCTTTATAAGACCCAAGCACCACATTCCCAGCTTTTTGAGAGGAAAAAAGGGTACTTGAATACTAATTTCACTACGATAAAATCCATGATTGCAATAGTAGGATGACAAGGTCATCTGATGGTATTAGAAAATTGATACAATAACAATGAGATGCCCCTGAACAGTGATGGCCAGCAGACCCAGCAGGGTGCCATTCCGAACTCTGTGCCTAATTCTGCACGTAGTCATGAAAATGTGTGTATGAGCTGGATATGAATCTCACTGCTGAGACAGAGAGCACCGGGAGAATGCCAGAAGACTTAAGGAATTCAAGTTCACCCTTTGTGCAAGGGCTCATAATATCACCTCTGTACCACCTCAGTTTTTGTTTTGGCAGGTGAAGTGGGATTTAGACCGCATATAATTCTTAGCCTGACCTTCCATGCAGAGCAGACAGATGCACCTAGAATCTAATCGTGTGCCACCAGAGAGTTTGCCAATGAAACTTGTTCCTGGCCTTTTCTTGAGGAGTTGTCCTGGGGCCAGCCTACCTTCTCCAATTAAACTCATCTCCCATACTCAAGTAGCAGATGGGGAAAATATAGCGCTTCAGCTGACAGCAGAATTTATGATAACAGAAGAATGAAACAAAGTAAAACAGCCATAATGCTTAACATGCAGGTCCAAAACGTGAGGCTATCTTCTATCAAATGGAAGAAGTTGTCCTTTGTAGTGATCTAGCATCTCTCCAAAATTCACCACTAAAAGGTCATTCTAAACACAATATTAGACCACACGAATAGTTGCCAGAGTCTAATGAAATTTAGTTATTGGTACTTAAAAAACAGATTAGTAAAGAAATGGGTTAGCACTACAGCACTATAGTTCAATTCTTAGATTTTTACATTTGGAATTTAACAGAAGGTCAGACAGTTACTGCTATCTTATATTCCCAGCATGCTTATGAGGTGCTTCAAAGAAAACCTGAAGCATATTCCTTACCTTCTAAGCTTGGATCCTGTACGGATGCAGCAGTTAAATTCAGTGCTGTTGTCACCACTTCATAGAAACTTTGGCCCAATGGCATCATAGCTAAATCCTTCAGTGATATCAAGGTACTGAAAGTGAAAAGTAAAACAAAAATCAAGCTCTCTATACACCCAGAAAAACTGAAAGAGCTTGATGGAAAAAGGTGATGTTCAAGTAGTTGGGTATTAAAAGAGGGGGCTTTTATTATTATTGAAAAATAGATGTTTTGTCAAATTACGCTTTTAATGAAAAACCGACAAAATGAGATTTTTAGTTAGAGTTCCACACAATTTTCATTAAGGAAATGTCTCCTAAGAGGTCCAATGTCCTTTAAAAAAAAAAAACAAAAAAAACAACCAAACAAAACAAAAAACAAACAAACAAAAAAAAAAGAGTTAAAAGTGAGAGCAAAAATGAGCTCAAAACCACCATAACTGTTCTCCCAGTTATTCCCACAGCAAGGTAGGCTGGACACAGTAGTATTTTACTTCCACTCATCCTGCAGAGGAAAAAAGAACCTCTAAAGCAACATTTATTCTGGCAACAAAAAACCTGAAATGTAAACATCTGACTCTCCTCTTACTAATCACTTGTGGGTTGACCCCCAGGCGAAGCGGAAGTTGTGCATGCCAATAAAGCAAAACAAGGGATTTATTCACTACTTCCCATCAACAGGCAGACGCCCAGACACCTCATGGAAAGCAGGGTCTATACACATATAACAATTACATGGGAAAAACACCATAACCATGAACACCCTCCGCTTTCGTCCCCTTCTCACTTTCACCGTGCTATAGGCTCAGGGTAGAGAAACTGCTGCTGAGATTATATTAACAGATTAATAACTTGACCCAGCACAGCAGCCAGCGGTTACTGTTGCTGAAGAAACAAACAATGACCGTAAACTTACAATCAAGTCCCTGTTTTACATCAGGAACACTCAAGACACTGAGAATTTGCAAACTTTTCAGGAAAAACTTCTGCTTTGGGGATAAGCACTACAAACACAGCTAATACAGCTTTGCATGTTAACAGTTCAGAGAACAAGCTGGAACAAGGTTACAAATGACTCTGGCATAAAGGAGAGGGAAAATACCAAGCCCAAACAGTTCCAATCCACATATTGTAATCAAAGGAGACTTATTTCCCAGTTTCAAAAAAAATTATGCTGTCATATCCTCCATATCTTCTTCATTAGGCAGTGGGATGGTAAAGGGTGACAGAATCAGCACAGTAATTTCCCATTCAAGGTCTTCAGAGGGTAAGGCTGGTGAAGATCATGGCCAGTCTTGCACAGGTGGCCGGGTTTGGTGGCCTCCTCTAGCCTTATTTGAGATAAGGCTATATTTGAGATATTTGATATATTTGAGATAAAAAAAATAAATATTAATTGACTACAATGACAACTACCTACTCTGGCAAATACATTTCTCACTTGTTCCTAACAATTTCCTTATTTTACTGAAAATTCCTGTAGATTCTTCTTAGTCTATGCTTTTGATACCATGTCTTCCTCTGAATCCAACTGACCTTTACCCGAGGCAGAAAACTTCCATATTCAGAATATAGTCTCAAGGGGTTTTTTCCTTACTACTACATTTCTTGCAAGAGAACAGCCAAAGCTATTTCGACAGCAAGAGGCTTGAGAAACAAAATTGAGTCATTTTCCTGATCGTCACCAAGTGCTACATACATACTAATTTGATTAGAACCCAAACTATTATTTTCTTATATTCATATGTAAATCTTCTGTCTTTCAAAGACTCCCGAAGCACGTTACAAAGGTCAAAGCCATATTACGTCATGAGCTAATTTCATCCATTGCTAACACAAAGCTATTTCTTGAAGACTCCTAGGGAATATCTGCTGAGTTTGACACAAATGAAAAATACAGTTATGAAGAAATCAGAACAGGTTCTAACTGCTACCACACCTCTATAAAAACATAATCTGGTAAACAGAAGAAAATTTCAGCCTCTTTACACTGGTAAGGATCCTTGTTTTATTAAATAGCCAGTGTGAAGAACAAGAATTGCTAAAATATTAAAACAGAGCACTTTCAAGAACGTGAAAGCACTTACTTTTGAATAACTTTTAGAAACTGTGCTACAGCAGCTAGATCATCTTCTGTATAAAAGCTGTTTGATGCAAGGCGAGGGAGTGAATGCAGAAGGTTCCAGAAATATGGTTGCTTGTACAGGTTTTCTGCTCTAGAAATAATTTCCTCTGCTTCATTCAAATCCATCTTTATGTGAAGAAGAAATGCTTCCATTAACAGAAAAATAAAGTAACAGGTGCCTGTTATTTCCCCAACCCCTGCCCTCTCAAATTTCAAGCCATTTAAAATATTCACCACACCATTTTGACCGTACTTTGAACTTATGTCAGCTTTGTTTCAGATGTCTTTCTCTGTCCTGATGGAAAATGGAGCTGGGAGAAAAGCTGAGCAATCTCTTTCTGCTCAAAGTGTAACTGTTTTCCAGAAAGAAGGATTATCTTTGATCTCTCAAACACAAGGAGCTCTTTAGCCCTGCAAGAATTTCTATGTCTAGGGTACAAAGACCAGGGGACTGCCAGGGACATGTCATCTTTGCTTCACAGCAGCTTGGGGGGTCTGGGGGGTGTGTCAAATAATAATTGATAAGAATGACTCTTTAAAGATTCCAGCCTGGGTAAAACCACTTCTCTTCTAGGACTGCACTATCAGATGCCTATGCAAAACATAGGATCTATCACACTTGTTTATTGTGCAGCCTTTGCTTCCCTAAATTAATGTTTTGCTAGCGCTCTTGGATAGTGGTAACATGAGCATGGTTCATATAAAAAGAATCTTGTATATACAAGCTCTGTTACCAATAACAATAGTCTACTTTCAACTAAATATTTTTTTCTTAATGTTGACAAATACTCTTTCTATTTTATATTCCATTCCTGAAATGAAATTTTATATTGCTAGAGCTTCTTTCAATCAAGTATCTCATGAGTAATTTAAAAATGTTGCTATAAAATTCCATCTAATTTCAGGTTATAAATTGGAAATATAGGCTTCATAAAGTAACAGTTACAATCAAATACAGAGAAAATTCATTTTGGACTACTTTAAAAGTGAAACCAGTGGTCTGTGAAAGGTACAAAATTGACGGTAATGGAGACCCACTACTGTGCTCATTCAGCCTTCCCCTTTTTGTTGAGATTGTAAGGGTGAAAGACTAATGCATCAGGGACAGCACAAAGACCAAACCCATTTCACAAACTGCCAAAGAGATTCTGGAAGGAATTATGCTACATCTTGCAAATCTATCTTCCTTCATCCCCACTTGAGTCTATTTGCCATATTTACTGGATCACAAACCTGAATTCAAAGTAATCACATCCAAGCCAGAGCCTCATATTTTCAATCTCATTGCAGTCCTTTTTTAAGTTTTGGGTTGGGTTTGGGTTTTTTAGTTGGTTTTGTTTTGGGGTTTTTTTGGGAAGGGG